TCCCCCCCCCCCCACATCACCGTCTTACATTGAAGCGAAAAATCGGTGATCGCTACCCAGCTGCCAATCTAATTACGACTGATAGGGAATGATAGAGAAACTTAACCAATGCCTTCAATGCAGTCCAGCTATGGATGCAAACCCTTCAAGCATTTTGAACTAGAGAGAGGCGACAGCCGGAACACTACTACTGTCCGTTCGCTGCTATAATACTAGATTTTTTCCACTGGTCCTGAATTGGCGGAAACTGATTGATCCGTTGATGTTCTTTGGTCCCCTATTTCGGGTGGTCCTGATCTTAGGGATCTCTCTAGAAACAGCTTGTTTTTATGATTGCTACATATTTTCAAACCCCACAACTACATGCGCACACCTCAACTTTGCTCGGACTAGAAATTCTGCAGGGTCATTAGGTTATGTTATCTACGGACTGGACTCAGTGACACATGACATTCGTTTGCATGGGTTTGAATAGCTGTTGGAAAATTATTCGTTTGTTACATCAGGTCATCGTCATCAGTCATTCTTTCGGAAACTCAGCACGTGCCTATAAACTGTGAAAAACAGCCAAACATTAGAAATGGGATGAATTACAATGTAACTGAACCCAATTTCCTAACCTCGTCGATTTTGACCGATATCGCTTGGTTCACAGGGGAAAGGTGAAAGGAGAACACTGTCACCATGGTAATAACAAGCTAACCAGTTCGCGAGGTCACAAAATCTGTTCGATAACAACGAAAAGGAACGAATTCGATTGAGTATGTTGGTGTCCGTCCTTGAGCATCTCTAATTGCTTTGTACAAACAGTCTCGCTTTCAAGGAAGTGCATGCAGACCAATCGATGCTGTAGCTTTGATCACGTTGCTGGGCCCAGTCCTGCAGGCTTGCTTATTGCACATCTGGAATAAAAGGCAAATAACATTCAGGATCGTGTCATCTTATGCGAATGATACGTCGACGATACCCCCAATATGATAAAAACTTTAGAAGAAGGCACGATAATCAATATACCATATCCAAATACCCGGTTCGAAATGGAATGTGGAGTGAACAACATAAATGCTAACGAAGATCAATAACAATAGCATGACCGGAGGGGAAGATGAAACAATTGCCTTACTCGTTTATCGGAGGGAAACCTGGATAGGCCAATACCTATACTTCGAAAGACTTGAGCAATCTGGGTATGTACGCGGTCTTGCTCGTACGCTGTTTGACAAGACAAGAGGTATCTGAGCAGAAGACAGATCTGAACAAGAACTTCTACTACTTCGGAAGATGTTATCAAAAAATGCCCACCCTGGAGCGTTTGGTAATAAGCGCGACGAGCCGAAAGAAAGAAACGGTTACATCAGTTCAAAAATTGCTGGTGGTGACGTAAGCTGTTTCGTCAAAAAAGAGATCGACAATCGCTCTAAGCAGCGAAACCCAAAGTCCTCTATCGGATAGCCAGGATACCACACCACCAGCAAAAGAACCTCTGTTGCTGTGCCCCAATTCTAATTTGATCCATTAATTTAAATGTGGGTGTAGAGCGACCTACGTGGGCAGAATAGCGACAATTACGTAGCCCTGTGGTTGAACATATTTCAAAGTGGGTCCAAATTCGAATGACGTGGTTGAGGTCGAGTTCATAGAGCTGACGGTCGAAACCGAAAGAACCCGTCATCAGCCATAGCGCACCACCTGATGACGCAATACTAGGTAGACCAAAGCACGGCGTTTCGAATTGTCTACTAGTCACGAATCACAATATTGTTTGTTTGCTTAGACGAGTGCTATCAGCCAATGGAATACCCATCCCCTCGGTGAACACAAAGAACTTGGTTTGGCCTCACCACGATGACATACTGTCAATCTCCTGATATATCATACCTACGAGAAGTCGCATTTTTCACTATCTTCCCACTTTTAGAAAACATAAACCGTAGGTACTGAGCGTACAATGTCGCCCCTCCCAACGAAGCACAGTTCCTGATACCTCCTCACTTGTTCGTTGGCTAATGTTCGGGTGGACCACTGGCGAACCAACATGCAATGTCGCATTCCACCATTGACGTTTCACATAGTGGGACGCGAAAATGACATTGTTCAGTGGTTAGATAACCCTTGTGAGCAAGGCACACTGATGCTGGCTATGGAGG